TGTTTGTGTGTGTGTGTGTGTCCAGAGTCTTGTACTTGCAATTACTGAACAATACTCTCAGCAAGTTGAAATTTTAATGAAAGTCAAAGAGACACTATGGCTTCCTAGTGTGTGCCTGGAGTTTTACCCTTTCTTATATATGTCCTAACTAGATGTCACCTGAACAAGTTATTTGGGCTCCATAAATTTCTTCATTTGCATTCATAAAATAATGAGGAAAAAATACCTAGCAATGCCTCATAGAATTATTGGAGTGTTTGGTTATATAATGGGTTTAAACATGGATAGTATGGACATTTGACCAATAAATATTAACTATTCTTGAGAAAAAAACCCACATAATTACATAATCAAATGAAGTCTGGGCAAGTAGTGATCTAAACTGAAGCTCTATTTCAGAGAATAATTTTTTCTTTTAAAATACATTGTAAGAGTTTTATGCTCTACCAGTTGAGCTTAGAATGCATTGTAATTCAGTAACCACGAGCACTCTTTCCTGAAGGCAGTCCAGGAGAAACCTAATCAGTGTGTGAGTCAAGCAAGTTTCATGCGCTGCCTTCCTTTCCCTGGGAGAGACTGTAAAGTCTACCCTTGCTACTGAACTCATCCACCTTGCTCGGTGCCAACCAAGAGTCTTTTGTCTTTCTCAAGCATGATGGTTAAGCTTTTTTTTTTTTATTATTTATCCTGAAAGTAGGAACATTAATTAGTAAACTAGAAACAGCACTATTGCAGACATCACATAGCTGCACAAATCTGTGATCCTTGTTAGGACATTAATTCGTTTGCTAGGAAGCTGGACCAATTTTCAAATTAAATAGATTAAAGTAAAGGAGAGGAGAAGTCCCAGATTTTTCATAGTAAGCATTTCCTAGCACGGACTTTCCTAAGAAGATTTGGATAGACTTGACTCTGTTCTCCTTCCTGCCCTTGCTCAACCCAGGAAGGAGGGCAAACAACCATTAAAAAAAAATGTGGCTGCAGTTAGGCTCTGGGATTGTGTGGGTCCGAAGGGTTCTGGAAGTTTCCTCTTTCTGACAGGGCTTAGAGTAACCTTTTCTGACTACCAGACGTTTCTAGAACACACTGATTAGCCGGTGCTGACTGCATTTGATTATCTTTGGCACTTAGCTTGCTTTATTTTCATCTTGTCTGATCACAAAGCAACCTCCGGATGATTCTTCTAACACTGTGTGATTGGAATAATAACTTCATGTGTTGGAGAGTTTTGTGCTGCAGCTGAAAGGCATGTAAATACAAGCTGCTTATTTGCAAGAAGCTTCCAGATTTGCAATATGATTGCTATGGAAACCACATAATGAAAACCTTATAACCATCTGTGTGGTTTGATGGATTTTACTGCATAGCTGAGCTGTTTTTGTTTACTGTTATTAAAATGTTGAATGGAATATATTAGCCCACAAACATTGACTATTTGAGGTATTAATTAGTATTATATAATGACATTGTGCCTCAGCAGGAAAATAAAATATGTTTAATAATAAATCTAAGTAAAATAACATGCGAAAGTATGTATTTCTAATATGGGATGAAGGCAATTATTGCCTGGAATTTTAGTTATTCTTCTGTGGCTTTTAGTGGTGTGGGGAGGGTTTTCTCTGTTAATAAATGAACGCTAGGACTTTCATGATGTTGGGTCCATTTGTTCACAGCATTTAGTCAGTACCTTCCTTTGTGCCAGGCCCCAGTCAATATTCATTGTGAATATCGCCCTCTAAAATTAAAACACAAAATTTGAGTTTGTCTTTTATGTGAAAGCTATTTGTAGTATTAGGCCACGATGAATGAATTGTTGAATCTTATTTAGAAAACTCGACAGATGGATTGCATAAGGCTTTCACCTCAAATGTCAGTACAGTCTTGAAATGCAAGCAGGCAGCATGGCAGAAGCCTCTCATGCTCCCCAAGCCTGCCTGCAAGGATGGCCTCACAGAGGCTTTTCTGTAAATACTGGTGCTCAGATATTTTAATGTCATTATTTTGATGATTTAATAATCGTTGCATAGAGGCAGTTTTCTCACACCATTACAACCCCTCGCATATACTAGAGACATGTTTTAACAAACTAAAGATAAATTTGTGGTAATAAATTCTTCACTTTTTTATATTTTTTTAATTTATTTTTCAGTTTAAATTTAGATAAGAAACAAGGTTGCTTCACAAGTCAGTTCCAGGTCCCTCTCCCTTTCCCTCCCCTCCTCCCGTGCCCTCCTCCCAACCTCCCCCATTTTCCCCTCATTTCCCCAGGGAGGGTGAGGCTCTCCATGGGGGTGTCCATAGTCTGTCATTTCATATAGGGTAGGGCCTAGACCCTTCCCCAAGAGTTCAGGGTGAGAGTGCATCTCACATTGTTCTATGGGAGTCCAAAGTCCGTGTGTATACTCGGGATGGGTACTGATCTGCTGCCCAAGGCTCAATAGATTACCTAGGCCTCCTCACTGACACTCACATTCAGGGGATCTTGATCAGTCCCATGCTGGATTCCCAGGCTGATGCCTGGGATTCAAGAGTTAACCTTTGTCAGGTCAGCTGTTTCTGGGGGTTAAACCAGCCCAGACTTAATCCCTTTGGTCATCAGTCTTCCCTCTCTGTTACTGGCTTCCTTGAGTTCAGCTCAGTACTTAACCGAGGGAGAATTCTTCACATTTTGCTGCTAACTTTACCAAGAACATTTACCATTTAGTTCTTACCATTATTTTTATGGTATGTTGATGCAAACATTAGATGGTGGGTCTAAATCCCAGTTTCCTCTGGAAAGCCCGAAATAGTGTTTCCTCCCTCGCTGTGGTTATGCCGAGGACAAGTGCTCTGCGGTCTTTACCCCTTACTACTGGGTTTGTAGTCAGACTGGAGAGAGAGGCTCTGAAGGAAAGAGAAAGGCAAGGCAAGCTCCATCTTTCACCTCTAAAAATAAATGTACCGTCTGTGAAAAGAGTAGGTGGGATTAGCTGTAAGTTTCTGCCTTCTGAGTTTATGTGAGAACACCCTATAAACAACCCGCTCGTGATAAGTAGTCCTTGAGATTTAGCCAAAGTGAGACGATGGTTGTTAAAAGAAGTGTCCCGTATTAAATTACCGAGGTTAGCTCAGCAGTGTGCATGAAGACAAATAGTTCCAGCTGCTCCTTATTTTGGAGCTTTTATTATTTTGTCTGAGTTGAATTATATAAACTCAAACCACTTATATTTGACTTCTAAGCACAGTAACTCTGAAGCTTGCTTCAAATCCTGGTGTTGATTAATCACTAGTTAAAATGTACAGGAGACTTTTCTAATACTTTACAGTTGCCCTTTTCTCTGGTATGAACCCTATCCGGTTGCAAAAACAACTCCGTGTTCTTCCCCCAACAACACAGATTATCTGGGCTAGCCTCTTAGTGACGGTGTGTCTATTTGCCCTCTGGTCTCTGGACCTGAGCCTTAAAATATTGAGGCAGGCAGGCAGACAGGCACAAAGCTTATCGATTCTGGTTCCTCAACCTCTCACAACATCTCCTTCCCGTTTCCTCTGCCCCTTCAGCTCAGGACTTCCTTCCTTTTTATCTAGACTCCCCATGCCCCTCATCCAGACGGTCGGAGACAATGGGATCTAATGATCATTTTTAAAGCAGTTTCAGTCCTTCCCTGTCTGCTAGAAACCTTCTAGGGCTCTCACGGCCCACCCGACTGGTCCCCCATTTCTCACATTCTCTCCTATCTTGCTCTTCCCAAGAGTACCAAGTTCCTTTGTCCAGTGAGTGTGCTCGCTAAGTTGCTCTTCTGTGGGTCTGGAAAGAGCGTCTCATCTGACTTTAAAATCCGTTATGTTCTGCAGCTCTTCTGTTGGTCCTGGGTTGAGTGGATCCCCTGCACCCCTTCAGTGCTTGGTGTTCCACACATCAGTGATGTCCCTTGGTACCTCCTTTCCCTCAGATCTCATCTCTGTCCCCAGCAGGCTGTCAGCTTCCTCAGGGTAGAAGTGTCTCATTACCTTTGCCTTCTTGGCAAATGCTCCCTCTCACATAGGTAATCCTCAGTGAACATTGGTTGACTGGTTGATTGATTTCATAGTCATTCCGGCTACCAATGTATATATTATTTATACATTGTGGATTAGTCTTGAGTTAGGATTTTTTTAATTTAGTTTTTCCTTGGTACGCTACATTAAATATTTTTATAAGTCCTTAAGTAGGGAAAGTAATAATGTAACACATCTGGTTTTAGTAGAAAAGAATGACATAGGTTGATTCTGTTTTTAAAATTTTAAAACTTTATGTTATTTTGTTCTGTATCCTGGGACGAGAATGTGCTTAGAGTGTGGGGAGGAAAAATCTGAGGAAAGCACTGACTACAGGGAGGATGAAGAGCACGGCTTACAACCACAGACGCGAGTTTGAGTCACGTGCTTTGGAAGTTTGCTACCTTCTACATCTCAATTGTCTATAGAATGATGGTTTATAACCACTCATCTATAAAACTTACCTCCCATGGTATGCGACACATGGTACATCCACAGTATCATTTGGGGGAATTACCTTGAAGTGGTAGGGCCCATCTTGTGAGAGGATTAAGTGAGAAAACCAATGAATATGTCTGACAGTTGATGACTTCCAGGTTATCTGTATTTTATATCACATATTTTTCCCTGTGCTATCTTGGTGTTTTAGGGACTGTGGTTTTATTGTACTGTTTCTGCTACTCAATGTAATGTAGCATTTCTGTATAATGCTGATTGTTACTTTACTAGATTTAAGGGCTGTCCAGGATTTAAGGTTGCTCTAGACAAGATTAAGTATTTAAAACAAATATGCAGCAGAGTCGTACATATCTTACATTGTATCAGGTCAGCTTAAGCCTTGGTGGGGTTGTTGTTTGGTTATTAACAAAGGACTTCAGATATTGAGTGTCTCATGCTTTTAAAGGTAATCATTTAAGTGCCATAGACTTTGTCTGGCGAAACACAGGGCCTGTTAGTGTGCCACTAATGCTGTTTATTTGCAGAGGAGGAAGAGGATGCTACTTCGGTGAAGATGGACGAGCAAGGGAAAGGGAGTCAGGACAGCACACACCACACCTCCGGTAAGCCTGGCAAAGCTTATTTTTGTCTTGTTCTAGTCACTTTCTAACTCTCTGAAGCTGTTTGCACAGCTCCCCGGAGCAGTTGACTTGTTTGGTCTGTATGTCATCTGGCTGAGAAGCTGCTTAGTCCCATTTAGGATGCATGAAAACCACTTGAGAAGGATTTATAAAGTAAGCCAATTTATACAAGGTATTCCTTCCTGAATTACTTTGTAATGACTCAATTAGCTTTCATTTCTGCACAAAGGAGATTTAGTTGCATAAATTAGCTTATCATCATTGAGGAAGTGTCACTGCTAAAGGACAGTTTATAGATACAACATGCAGTTGCTGTCAAACCTATAAGAATGTAATATAGACATCTGTGTATACTTTGTGCTTGAGCAGAAGAGACTTCTGCCATTCAGAGACTAACAGGGGACAACAAGTTGCCCAGGGGACTGGCAATGTAGACATCTCTGAAAAGGTCAACTTGACACAGGCTCTGACAATCGACCCACAGCTCTGTCTTCTTTGATAAAAATCAGATAAACTTAAGGCCGCTAATTGATCTGCAGCCTGTTTAAATGTTGGCCATGCATATCTTCATTGCATATGATTAACACACAAAGCAAATGAATTGGGTAAGAAATGCCAGAGTCCAGTGACAGCAGCTTAAAAATTAGAAAAGGACACTGGTTGCCTAGAAGCCTGGGACGGATATTCCGCACTATCCATTTCCACCTGGCACATGGCCCCAAGTACTAATTATGACCAAGACTGGAAAATAACTGCGTACATGATGTACAAAGTCACACGACACAGACAACTTTTCTTGCTTGTTGTTATTTCCAAGTAGCACAAGATAAAGTATCTGTAGTGCAAACATGAGGTTAGTTTTGATAAACCAGCAATTATTTTACAGGGAGAGAAGAGATGGCTGCCTTCTTATCAGGACTTTACACCTCGCTGTAGCCACATGCCAGCTGGGGCAAGGTCTGCCCTGTCACCCCCAGGTCCTGTAAAGAGCTGGAGCTTGGGTCACCTTCCCCTCACTGATATGACCATACATCACTCTTTTGAGCTGTCAGAAGCACGGTGGACAAGCAGTGTGTGTTCAGGAAGTAGCTTTCCCAAGGCCTTCCTACTGTGACATATGGAAAGGAAATGGAGGCCTGATTCTGGCCCTGGACAGGAAGGCGGGAACAGGTTGTTGCAGAAGGCTTGGGTTTGCCTTTTTTTTTTCAAAAAGGAAACAAGGACAACATCATTATAGATATTAGCACTACTGCCCTGTAAAACACAGCTGTGAAACATGGCAGCAAGTGAAGCCTGAGTACTGTGCTGATAGTAAAGTGTGTGTGTGTGTGTGTGTGTGTGTGTGTGTGTGTGTGTGTGTGTGTGTTAAGCTGTGATCACGAAGCTTCTGTCAAAAGCATACAGGTTCCTTTTAAATTTTCTATGCATGTGTAGAAGGTAGCTAGACCTTCCACAGATGCAAGTCTTGGCCTTCGAGGACAGTGGGGAAACAGTTTTTTGCAGAGTTCAGTGAGTAGATGAGCTTTTCATGCCATAGCCACAAGGCTCTACAATCTTTCTTATCTGCCATGCAGTGGCGTGCTTTTAAGTCACAGTTTGGTGTCTTTGCATGGTGGTGACCTTTGCTCATGCCCGTGCTGTCACTGACTAGAAACTTGCCACACAGGTCACTGAATAGACAAGGGTGTTGCTATCTTTTGGGCTTTGGCAGGTGTTGCTATCTTGGTGAGCATCATATGACACGAACGTCTAACCTTACTCAAAGATGTTATGTATTTTTTTATACTGCCTAATTTTATGAAAAACCATCAGTGTAAATAGTAATCAGTAAAATAGAAAAGTAAATCTGATTTCATCTTGTCTCCAACAAGGTGCTTCATTTTTATTGTTCTTTCACAGATCTCTCATATATGATCCTGCTTGATTTTTTCCAACACTATGAAAATATGCTTCCTTTTCTAAAACACTTCTCAAGTTTGTGGTACCCAGGGAGAGGCTCTCCAAGTATCATCATCATGCTTCATTCATTGTCATCTTGTTTATAGTCTTGCCTTTGTAGAGTATCTGGTGTTTACATGTTCAATTTGTACTTTGGTAACAATTCTGTTAGCTTTGCTCAATATCTATTTTATGTTTTTAAAAGCACATTGTCTAAAACATTTCAAAGGCTAGTTAACTTGTTTTCTTGTTGTTTCTTTTTGTTTTTTTAACCTATTTAAAATTGCTCATGCCCCTAGGATAGTGCACATAACAAGGTGAACTTTTGTGTGACAGTTTTCAAAATACTTATTGTGGTGTAGCTAGAACGATGTTAATTCACAGAGTAGACAGCTAAACCACATTAACCATGCTTCTGAAAGTTCCATATATATCATAAAACGTGCCTATCTTGGAGCAGGGATTCTTGGCAGCAGGAGAGTATTTGACTATGCAAGGCTCTGCAGTTGGTCCCCATCACCACAAAGCAAAGCAGGAAAGTCTCCTATGGATTGTCTTCCAGGGCCTAGGTAAAAAGTGCTCACTCTTGTGAGCCCTCTGTGCTTTCAAAGCTGTATTTCTACACGACTTTTGTCTGCGGATGTTTAGACACATTTTAAAGATGAACTAGAGGAGCCTCCTACATTCCACAAACAAGATTGCTCCTAATTTTCTATTCCCTGCATGCTTTCCCAAGGAGATGGGCTGATACTCACGCTGCTGGCTTTCCCTCAATGTCGGTGCTTCCTAGAACCTCTGTCATAAATAAGCTGCCCGGTACATACACACACTGTTCTTCAGCAGTGCTCACATGTGGGACACAGAATTGAGGTAGGCTGTTGGATCCTATCGTCATCAGGGTCATAGAAAGCACGGTGGAGAAGGCATCCCTCCCCCCCCCATCGCCCCAGCACTGGCTCCCTGGCTTCCGTGCAGCAGTGAGGTTTAATGAAATGCTCCTGATGCACATCTAGGGAGAGATACATCTTGCACACGGTGGGGGTCTCTCCCCTTGCCTGCTTATATAACTCCCATTAGTGTTAATGGGGGTTTCTCCAAGGGTATCCAGGGGAAGAGAATCCCCAAAGTGATGAGTATGATTAGAAATCACCATATACTTTCTTTTTGTCCTTTCTTTCCTGCCCCTACTTTAATAGATTTATTAAACAAAACGTATTGTGAGAGGGTCTGAAACATGCCTGGACAGCTGGGGACCCATTGGGATCCCACATCTTGGCCAAAATCCTTGGATTTAGTTTTTAACCCAAGTTTGTTTCTTCCATGTTCTTGGACCAAGCATAAGGCCGAGCAGCATGGGAGCATGCCCCGGCCTCTACTGGGGAAACCAGCTATTTAGCCCTTCTACCTCTTGGCTGGAACTGTGGGGAGGGCCTCACATGTGAAATGATGTCATCCCCTCTGCTCTAATTCCTTGACTCTCAAGCTGACACTGACAGACTGCATGGGGTACAACATTTGACCCATTTAGTAGTTGATTTAATCTGACAGGAATGTTTCAACTTCTAAATCTCTATTTGTCTAAATAAGTGGTTTTTAAAAGAAATCAGTCACTTTATTATTAAGTGATTTTTTTTTTCTAAAAAAAGAAAGAAATTGACAATGTTTGGAGATATCTGGCCAGCTGGAGTGCCCTCTAGTGTCCATTTACAGAATTTATTTACTACATGCTCGGGAGTGGGGGTGGTGTGATGGGGGTGACCATAAGCTTTGTTAGCTCTTGGTTGGATTCTGAGGCTTACACACTCCCTGCTGCTGTTCCTGCTGGTTTGAGTGCTTCAAGGCCAAGTGCTAAAGTAGAGAGGCCAATAGATGTCTGTCTCTCTCTGCCTCCTCCTCCCATCCTGTCCCTCTCTTAAAAAATAAAAATTAACAGGGGATTCTGGTGGGTTATATTTTCTAGTCCCTATTTCTTTTCTTACAGATATAATTGAAAAGGTGTGTCCTGTAAATACTTAGATTCCATGCTATTCAGATTCTCTTTGAAAAAAAATGTTAAAGACCTTAAGGAGAATTTTAAATCCTCTGATAAATTAATATTTTGTGAAAACCAACACTGTGCTAACTATGCTAATGTGACTAGTTGCACCAAGGAGCCTGCTGCAAAAGCCATCTAACAAAACTAAGATGACAGCCCTGATCTAGCATACATCTTCACATTATCCCTTCAGATTCAAAGATGACATTCCAGAGATGGAAGTTGTCAGCACATATGTGTTCTGCCTGGCTAGTGAACACACGGGCATCTTATGCCTTATTGATATTACTTGCATTCTTTTTTCCTGAACTCATCAAAACTCAATTATCATGAAATTAAAAACAGGAAACAGTTCTCAGGGTAACAAAAGCGTCCAGTGTATCTAACTGTGTGCTGTGTTTCAGGAGACCCGCACTGTGAGTGACAAAGCATTTGTTACCCAGATACTGTGGTATTACAGAGCGGAGAGCACTAAATAATCAATCAGTTAATGGTGTGTATGGCAGTTTGAGCACACCACATCCATTGTGCTTATGCCAGTAGAAGGATGAGCTGATAACTCCAGTGTATGTCGTGTGTTTACTCAGAGCCTAATGTCCTAGACCCGACTGACAAAAAAAATCTGTAATGGCAATTTCAAAGTTGCTAAAATATTTTAGAGACAACTTGGAGAGACTTTGGGTACAAATATTTGTATATTGAAGTCTACTGTTATCAAGTATTCCAAACTCTGCGATATGGTTACTTCCAATGTGTCTGTCCCATCCCATACATGTTGGTGATTTTGCAGCAAGGCCAGTGGTTCTTCAGAACACGTGGCAAGCACAAAGTATCTGCTGTCCTGACGTGAATGCCATTGATGCAGGGTTACATTAAGAATGGAGATGGAGGGGGGTCTGGAAAACCAAATCTTTCTGAAACGATCTTCATGAACAGGCTCAGGGGAGGGGCTCTAGTGGGTTCACTGGGAGGTTCTGTGATTCAGGCCAGAGTTGTTTAGACCTTCTGGCAGTCTGGGATGGTCCTTTCTTTTCTGTGGCTCAAGCCATAACTCCAACTTTGTCTTTCTTTTTCTAGGAGATAGAAGCACTGATTATGCTAATTTTTACCAGGGTCTGTGGGACTGTACTGGATCCCTTTCTGACGAGTTGTCCTTTAAGCGTGGTGATGTGATTTACATCCTTAGCAAGGTAAGAGAGCACCCCAAAATGATAGCTGTCAAGGGGAAATACATAGCTCAGTTCTCCTGGGTTTGAATTTACAACATGAGGGAAAAATGCCAATCGAATTCTTCTGGGTCCTTGTTAACAATTGGAAGTTTGAAATAATTAATTATTTTGTCAAGTGAAATATAATCAGAATTTAAGCACAATCAGATAACAGGATTCAACTTACAGTGTGTTTACCTATCACTCCAGCCCTTGGCAGACATCCACCTACTGCCTCCTCCAGAAACAATATACTTATGTGAAAGTTAACATTGTAAGGTATTGGGCTATTAATTATGTTTTTCTTTCTTCTTCCTTCTTATTCTTCTGTGTGCTTATCCTGAGTTTGCCTGCCATTCTCCCCTGGAAGCTGTGTTTATAGAAGAAGTTTTTCATCTTTGTGTAAACACATTGGTGTTCCGACAATTTAAAGGCAATGCTTTTCTGTCCAGACAGGTTGAGGTAATTTTTTAAAGCTTAACACGCTATATTTGTACGCCTGATGGCAAAGTGTGTTGCCACAGACTCATCTTTATTTTTGTAAGAACAGTTGTCTCTGCTTTTTGAAATGCTGGACTGGAGAACCGGTGAGCTCTAAAACTCAGGGTGGTATACTCCTGGTACTATGTATGAGCTCTCTTCATTTTCATTTCAGATTTTTCTACTGTACCATAGGGATTTTTTAAAAAATCTACTTTTGAGACTATCTTGGCACCAAATAATGAGTGGAAATGATTTGAACATGAGCAGGGAAATGTTAAATAAGTCATAAGTCTTAACACTTTAACGTGGTTGATCTGAGATATAGTTTGGGTATTTAAGAGGAATAAATTTTTTTAGATACAACAGGACTTTGAAAATAAGGTCACATGTTGGATTTTAACACTGGGATGTCTGGTACAGAAAATCTTGACCCAGCTGATCATAGAATCTTGGAGTGGACATCTCAATGAAGACAGTCTGTTCTTGGTTCTGCAAGTGAGGTCCACCAATCACTACAGTGCACTCAGCACCTGAGCTGTAAGTCTCAGCTCCTTCCCTCCTGCTTATTCCACGCCACAGCAAAGCTTCCCCAGTACCAGGACACACCCTCGGCACCAGGAGCACACAAGTGCCTGTAGGTTGATGGGTTAAGGAATACTTAGAGCGACTTAATACAGATAGCTGTGATCAAGGCTTATTAAGATGCCCAAAGCCTCACACAGTGTTCTTATTAGTGTGTTGTTATTTGTTGTTGCTTCCAGAAAGACACTTTAGGTTCTTGTACCCAGCCCTACCACAACTCATCACCACTAGCAGGGATTGAACCCATGGCCTTTCTCCTGTTAAGCAAGTGTTGTACCGCTGAACTAATACCTCAGCCTCACCCCCCCCCCAACACCCTCATTTCCCTAACTGGCTCAGACTGGTCTTGAACTCCAGTCAGCCTCCCTATGGTGTGATCCCAGGCGTTGTCATCCTGGTGTCATCCTTCTCCACAGGATGGCTCTTGGTTAAGTCCGTTATTGAGCAGTTAATTATCCTGAGTTAAAACAGCAGCCTTTAATGTTAATTGTGTCACAGAATTAACCCTGTTTGGCCCAGTTCTTATGGGGAACCTTTCCTGAAATCTTTTTCCAAATTTACCAGGCTCACTGTTTCCATAACCAATTTGACTGCAATGATATAAAATTAAAAAGTTGACTAACTTCTTTGTGAACTTTCAGGTTTTAGGGGTAAGTGGCATAGACATTGTCCTCCTTTTGCACATACGGAGCTTGTAAAGCCACGTGCGTGTGTCTTAGGCCTCCTTCCTCCGTCAGCTTAGCTGCTGGAAGCCCACCCCAGGACAGATAAGGTGGCATGGGCTTGGCTCACTTCCACCGTTTCCTGTTCATGTGAAATTAAAAGTGTAATCCTAGTGTGCGCTTGGCTTCCAGGATGCTGAAGGTAGAAGTTCAGTTCCCAGAAATGTGTTTTGTAAAGACTGTAATTTTATGTGTAAAGCTTGATCTAAGAACTTGGATTAGAGGTGGCCCAGCTCACGAGCGGGGTTATCTGAAGAGAACCGCCCCGCTCTTTCCAACCTTTGTAAGGCTTGATGTTCCAACATTAGTCAGTCCACTGGGTTCCTTCTAGAGATGGGCATTTTAGCTGGGGCTAATTCGGGTTTTTAAAAGAGGAGTCAAGAAGTATGAGCTTGTTGGCCACTATATATACCCCATAGGCCGAATGATTGTGTGTCCCCAGTCAGCAGCTGGGGACAGAAGTGGGGGTGCATGGTTAGAATAAAGAGAGCAGCCACCAGCTCTCCCTGACAATCCCCACATCACAGGCTTTGCTGGGGCTGTTGGCAGTCTGCTTGCTTTGGAGTGAGCGTGCCAGTGAGGACTCTGCTCCCCTGTGCTGGGAGGTTCAAAAGGGGTCCTGGACAATCAGTCTCTCGAGATTCTTTTTCTTGCTGTAACCTCACAGTTTTGTCGAAACTTTGGCAGACACAGACCTTACATTAATTTCCAAATGCTTAAAATAATAAATTGAGAACTCAAGATTTTGAGAAGAAAGTAATGAATTTCTGGATCAAGGCAGGGACCAGTATTGTATATTTTTAGAAGGATAAACAGTCAGGTTGGTGAGGTGCTTAGCAGGCAAAACTGCCTGCGTTTGCCCTGACAACCTGAATTCAAGCCTTGAGGCCCACACAGTAGAACAGACGGCTGACTTCGGAAAGTTGCACACACACTAAATAAATATAGGATTTGATTTAAGAATAATCAGTATAAAATCACTACTATTTTATATGCCTAGAAATTTGTTTAATCTTAGAGTATTATTTAGATTTTTGTGATGATGGTATGAAATTTTTACCATTGTAATTTATTTTTTCACACCATCTAGTGGCTCAGAATGAGTGGTGCAGGTAATTGCAGCTAATGCGCACAATCAAAATGGTGTCATTAATTCAACTTTAAATCTAGCTATGGGCTATTACTTTCCCATCTCATGTCAATAAAGTATTAGCATTAATCATGAAAAATTTTGTTCATTGTTTTGAATTGTGTGGAGATTGTATACACAGGAAGAATATATTTTAAGAAACCTAGCATAATATTTGTGGAGACATAGAAAATGAATACTATGTGGGAATGTAATGACTTTTTAAATAAAACCATTTAAAAAGTTTTAAAGAAATGCTACTTAATCTTAGAAATGTACTGACTTTTTAATTTGAAATGTTACCACTGATTTGACTTACTGCCCAAAAGCTTGTCAGTTTTGAATACCCTTTTTGAAAAGGCAGCACAAAATAGTTTAATAAGAGATATATTCCCTAAATATAAATATTTAGATAAATGAAAAATAAAATGTCATGCTTTATGGTGAAGAGTGTTTTAATTTTGTAAATGTAATGGTAGAAAACATTCACTAATTTGTTGATTAGACTATTTTCATTATACAGCTCTATGGAAATACAGAGAAATGGTTTTACATTTCTGTCTTTTCTGCCTTCCTTCCCTCCCTCCCTCCCTCCCTCCATCCGTTCCTTTCTTTCTTTCTTGTTGCTGGAACCCTTGATGGCACTTAGCTGTGCTTAGCTAGCCCCGAGTTACTTACTTATAATTTAAGCCTCTTTTGAGAGTTATCCAAATCTTAACCACCACTACTACCTTTTTTTTGTCTTCAGTGAAAATCAAATGCTACAATAAGGGTGGACACCCTGCCCTTCCCCCCTTCCCTTTTTAACATTTTCCAATTAGCAACTGTCATGTGACCCTCCAGCTGAGCTAGCCTTTTCCTCAAAACATTCAGCTTTCAACCTCTGAACAAGAAATCTAAATACTGTTTGCGTTAAATGGAAACAATATCTTTTTGCTTTGTCATTCTTGTCATATAAGCCTGGTGCTGTTTTTTAATGTGTTAAAATAATTCAGTATTTTAATGTAGACTTAGAAATCTTTTTTTTCTCCTAAAAAAAAAAAAGAAGAAGAAGACAGCATATTCTCAGGGGTAGATGAAAGTATAATTTATGTTTTTTATGATAACTGTATTGTTGGTGAATTAACTCAGAAACACCCAGCATGATCTCAGATTATTTTTAAGACAGGAAAAGTAGAGGTAGAAATCTTTTCATTTTTAATTTCAGTTGTTGGCTGGAATCTAGTTAGTTATTCAGCAAATTATGCTAAATATTTTACTATTTGCATCTCCATTTTATTTTTCCCAAACTATGGATATAATCTGGTAGCTAATGGTGTTTTCCTGGAATCATGCTTGTATGGTATTCTAATTTCATCAGTAGGTTCCAGGTCACACAGCAGCAGGCAGACTCTTCTGCCCATCTTCCTCTTTGGTCCTGCCAGTCTGCCTTGCTGTTTGGGATTTACATCCTCTGACAGTTTATCTTTCAATCTGTACTTGTTGGTGCATTGCTAACCACATTCTCAGCCTTACTTTTCAGGCAATAAATTATTTTTAGAGAGTTAGAAACAGACAAACTGTACTTCAGCAGGAAAGAGGCATGCTTCTTAAGACTCCAGAACATTCTCTTTCATCAGAGAAATGTCTGACTTTAGGTTTGCAACCTTTGAAAATATTTTATTAAGACCCAAACAGGAAATGTAGATCAAACAGTGGTTATGTATGTACAGTAAAATGCATTTGAGGTTGTGTTGGTTAGAGCTGTAAGCAGTACTTGGTGTGTGTTTGGCTGATACTTCCCAGCGATTGGTCAACTGTGACTCTCATTGAACATTTACTTCTTGTTAGAATACAGAGATTTACTTGGTATGACTTTGTGGCTTCAAATCTATAAATAAATGAATCAAAAGTCTCGCTGGCAGGAGAAAGGCAAAGTTGGTTTTTTTTGTTTTGTTTTTAGTATATAGTTGTTCCAGTTTTTCATTTGTAGTCATATGGCCCAGGGTACCACAAATAGCATGGCCAACCACTGAAGAGCGACCAGGACAGATGGATGATGGGGACAACTGTGGCTTACACTGATG